TTTTTTTTTTTTAATGGCGTCGAATTTTTAAAAATAACAAATCCTAAAAAATTTATTTAAAAAATAATAATAATAATAATAATAAGTTTATGAATTGTTTAAATAATTTTTTTTTTTTAGTCTTTTCTTAGTTGTAAAAAAAACAAGAAAATTAGATTAGATAGGAGGAAGACAATTAATTTTTAGGTTAATTGATTTTATATTAAACTTTGAGTGAGTATCTTTCTATTTTTTTTTTTTCTCCAGCGATTTGATTTCCGGCATTATTAAAATATTTTATTTCTATTAAAATTATTAATATTAATAATAATAATAATAAAATATCACCGAGTTACATAGATTTTTAGTTACATTTTAGTAATATTTAATTTTTTTTTTTAATTAAATTTTAAAGGCGTGTTTATATATTTTTTCTTTTTTAAGAAGTTTTTCTTTTTTTTGTAGGATAAAACGTCATTTAAATTTATTATTATTATTATTATTATTATTATTATTATTATTATCGTGGTTTTAGTGAGCGTAATAAGAGGCTCTTGACGCGTAAATATTAATTCAAACTTTTACATAAAGAATTCTTTTCTTTTTTTTTTTCAAACATTGAATGACAACACAATTTTTCTTTTTCTTTTTCTACTCCTTATGAGAAATAATTTAAAGAGCATGAGTAGCAAATTGGTAACAACAACGAAAAAAAAAAAACATGGCGTCTCGAATAAAAAAATTTTGAAAAAAAAATTGAAAATTTGTAACAAATTAAACGAAAAGAAATATTATTATTATTATTATTATTATTAAATTAAAAGAAGAAAAAAAATTGTTTATTTAATCTATTTCCGGTTTTCATATTTCACCTGTTATTCTTTAAAAATTAAAATTCAATTTAATTAGGTATAATTTAAATTCCATAATAATAATAATAATAGATTATTTAAAGAAAAATTTTTTTCTCTTTTTTTTTCATGCTTGCATTATTATTATTCTTTCTTTTTTTTTTTTTTTTTACAAACAATTAAATATGGTATAAAAACCGGAAGTGATTATTGGAATTAAATAAAAACAATTTTTTTTTAAAAAACCAAAATATTTAATTAGATTTCACTCACTTTGGGGTTTTTTTTTCTTTTTTTCGTAATTAATTTACTTATTATACGTATAAAAAAAAGGATTATTATGTAACGAAAACCTGAAAATTATTAACCATAACATTGATCATGCGGAAAAGTATTGCAAATAGCATGTACCTGTTTTTCCACGCGTAATTTTTTTTTTTTTTTTTTTTTGTTAAAATCTATGAGATATTGTCGAAACGAATTTTTTTTTTTTTTTTTAAACTGTGAAAAAAATGTCGCAGCATCATTAAATTAAATTGTTAACGATTATTATTATTATCGTTACATAAAACCAAAAAAAAAATTAATAATCGAAGAAAGATACAGAGAGAGGGAGAGGGAGGGGGGAAAAGATTTTCAAACAAAAAATTTTTTTTGTAAAGATATAATAATAATAATAATAACAAAACTTCTTGCCCCTTTAATTTTATCGAAAAAAAAACTTTTAACGCAAAAAAAAAAAAAAAAAATTACATTTTGCTACGGTTAATAATATTTATATTAATTATAATAGAATTACGTAAAAATAATTTTCATGTTATTTCCTGTTTAAAAAAAAAAAAAATTATTGTTATTGTTATTTAACATAATTTTTTTTTTTGAATGTCACAGATAATTATTTATTGGTTGGCCTAAATAATTAATTTACTTTCTGTTGGAACATGTGAAACAATTTCTTTTTTTTTTTTTTTTTGCTCTCAATTCATAACACCACACAAAACAAAAACTCGTGTGTGTGTGTGTGTGTGTGTCTGTCATATCACGTAATAATTCGAAACCCTTTTTTGTTTAACAAAAAAAAAAAAAAAATTGTTATTATAAATCGTTTTTTAAATTCATCAAGTTTTTTTATTTTTTTGAGAGAGTTGGTAGCCATTTTTGTATTTAAATAACGCCTTTTTATATATTTTAAATTATTATTATTATTATTATTATCATCATCATCATCGTTCTTACACGTGATACATTGTGTTTTGATTCATTACAAAATCTCAAATAGGATGTTGGATTTTTTTAACAAAATCATTCTCGTAGGTGAAATCTATTGTATTTTATTATCATTATCTTTTTTTTTTTTTTTTTTTTTGTTTTTTTCACCTTGAAATTTTTCACACACATATTCCATTAATAATAAACAAAATAATGCGTTATTAATAATAATATTAATAATAATAATAATAATAATAATAGTTTTTTTTAAATGTTTTATTCGATTCTATTTATTATTTAGAGCAAAAAAATGAAAAAAAAAAAAACAAGATTTTAACTTACAACAACGAACGTTGGGAATTTATTAAAAATTTCTCACTAATTAATAATAATAATAATAATAATAATAATAATAATAATAATAATAATAATAATAATAATAATAATAATAATAATAATAATAATAATAATAATAATGA